GGGGGGGGGGCACTAATGGAAGGAGCCCCCTGCTGATCCAATGGGGTCAGAGCCCAGTATAGGAGCACCGCCTGCACCCCCCTATCGGCAGCCTTGGGTTTTCGGGGACATATGAAGCCTCACTAAGATGTTGGCCTTCTGCTGTATTTCTGTACCTGTGAGGAGTATGACGCCACCTCCAGGTGAGGTATATACAGGCCTCATAGCTGGGAGCTCAGACAGTTCAGAGTTGGGGGGCGCAGGACGCAGGGGGGTGCGGCGTTGGGGCTCCATGTGTTATCAGATCTTTACATCAGGAATGTCCCAATCCCCACCTCCCCATGTGTCACGGCTTGCGGCCGGCTCGTCACTTCCTAGATGTGGTTTTCCTTCTCACGCTTTCTCTTATTTCTCGGTTGTGGACATCAGATTCTCAGCTGTCAGAGGAGAAGTTTCTACATCAGTGAGAAGGAAGGAAAGAGTTTGATCACTTTCCTTCCTCAGAGGAACGAGAACATTGTGAGGCAAGTCTGGGGGGATGGGGAGGTGTCAATCACGATGGTCATTATACAGCAGGAAGTCTTGGATCAATACGAGGTATCAGGTGACAGAACTGAGGATTTCCATCTTCTACTGTGCTTAGCTTAGGCCATAGGAGGGGACCACACCTATCTCCTGGCCAAAAGTATGTGAACCCCCCTCCAGTGATGGGGTTCAGGTGTCTCCAATGATGGGGTTCAGGTGTCTCCAGTGATGGGGTTCAGGTGTCTCCAGTGATGGGGTTCAGGTGTCTCCAGTGATGGGGTTCAGGTGTCTCCAATGATGGGGTTCAGGTGTCTCCAATGATGGGCTTCAGGGGTCTCCAATGATGGGGTTCAGGGGTCTCCAGTGAAGGTCCCGTTCATACTCCATCATACAAAGACATCGTAGACAATTGGGCTCTTCCAGCCTTGTGGTCACAGTTTGGTGAAGACCCTTTTCTGTTCCCCCCATGACTGTCCCCCGTGTACAAAGCCAGCTCCATACAGACACGGTGTGACCAGCTTGTGAAGACCACTCAAGTTCCACCACACCAGAGCCCTGACCTCAACCCTCCGAAACACAGGAACACCTTATGGAACATAGGTTTTCCTCAAGTATTATTCACTTGAGCGAGCTCTATAAAGACACGGTGTGACCAGTTTGGTGGAGGAACTCAAGTGTCCTGCACAGAGCCCCGACCTCATCCCTACTGAATGCCAATTGTGAGTCAGGTCCTCTCATCCACCATCAGGACCTGACCTCACACATGCTGTCTAAGTAGTATTAGATGTGTCAGGAGTGACCTCCTATAGTGCAGGTCCATAGATCAAGTCCATAGATCAGGTCCATAGTGACCATCCACTACATAGAGAACCATCCCCTTGTACATCTTCGGACAGATGGGATGAGTAGTATCGGACCTGACACCTCCCACCACCCGATGTATGGACTCTTCAGTATCCTATAGATTCAGACATAATGATGTTCATCTTCTCACAGTGGACCAGGGGACAGACGTCTTTGCGGTGGCCGTCCATGAGTTTGGACATGCCCTGGGGCTCTCTCATTCGTCATCAGAGCAGTCTATTATGAAGCCGTACTACCAGGGGACGCTGGGCCACCACAACCAGTACAGGCTCCCGTATGATGACATCGAGGGGATCCAGGCCCTGTATGGTAGGTACGCCAATGACTCCACCCCTCAGATACCGCCAGTGTGACACCAACATAAATGTCTTCTCTTCTGTATCCTCCACCAGGTAAAAGAGACTCCGCCCCCGGACGACCGCCACCACCTCCAAGGCCCACCCAACACCACATCCCCCCCCGAGGGCCCACCTATCAGTAAGAGTCTTGTGTTCATTACTACGAGGGAGACAACTGGCCATCTTCCAAACCCAAAACACAACTCCCGATGATATATTGTATAGGGCAGGGGTAGGCAACCTTGGCTCTCCAGCTGTGCTGAAACTACAAATCCCATCATGCTTCTTCCTCTGGGAGACATGCCTGGGGCTTGCAATGCCTTATGGGATTTGTATTTTCAGTGCTGCTGGAGAGCCAAGGTTGCCTAGCCCTGGTATAGGGGAAAGGGAAATAGATATGAAACTCTGCTCGGTCAGGGAGGAGAGATAACGATTCCCGCATCGGGGACCAGCGGAGGACAAAGTCTTCTTATGGTTCCTCAGCACTGGCCCCGTGTGTGGAAGTGTCAGATGTACGCTCGTCCAGTCTGTGATTGGTGGGTTCTGAGGCAATAAAGGGCGTTCTTAGTGCAGACCCTGCCTGGGGGAGCCCATGGACCCTACTATAGGGGCGCTATGGTTACCAGTATTGTATTGTATTCCGAGGTCTAGATTGGGTTTATGTGTCATGGTTGTGTTCAGACCCCCCCTCCCCCCTCTGGGTCAGCACTAGAGTTCTCCAATCAGCAGGGACCATCAGCTTCAATCATTGCACATCTATAGCTCGGACCCAGCGGGGTTGTGTTAGACTTGTGCAGAGAGACCACTGCTTCCACGTGCATGCTGGCAGGGAACTGGCTCTTCTACTCAGGCCGTGTTCTCAATAACGAAATATTAACCCAACCAGTCACACCCATCTCCGCTTCTAAAGGACCAATGATGAGTGACCACCTCAGATTCACTCCGCCCACAGCTGGCGCAGGCTCCTCTGTACCAGCTGGTACCGAGGAATAAGCGCCAGGCACTTCTATGTGGATTTCACCAACCAGGAGCCGATCCACAGCATGACAGCGAGTACTGGGGCCCTACCTGGTGTGATGGGAAACCTGTACGGGGCGCCGACAATACAGACCTCCATGTAAAAGTTTCAGTTCCCTGGAGGTCTCTTGCTCGGGCCTGGGAGAAGCGTGCAGATCAGGACAGACACAGTGATCAGCATGACCATTGAGGTATGGCCTTCAGGAGGAGGTCAGCAATGATGGCCTCCATACTTCCGGGGTGCCGGCTTCTTTTACTCATCATTTATGGCGGTGGGGTGGGGGAGGGGGGATTGTGTTG